AGCTATTGAATTTACAACTGCTCATATTAATAGCAATTCAAAAAAAATCAAAAAATAATTTAACAACTTATAACCAATTTCTCTTTTTATATTGACAATGTTTCATTATCTCTAACATCAGACATACATTACTATATTTGTTCTAAATGCTTTCTTCCAATTGGTTGTATTAAAAAAAATAAGCATTATTATCTTATTAAAAAATAAATTTCTAAAAATAATAAAATCTATTATCTTACTACATTCTTATACCAAACCTCAACTTCTTCTAATTTTATTGATTCTTTTTTTTTTACAATTACTAACACTAATCTTATCCTTAACTAACCTCTTATTACTAGTAATCTTAATATTTCTAATCCAAATCTTAACAATTTTAACAATACTAACCAAATTAAAAATACTTCTAACAAACCTCTCTCCTAATTTTATTTTAGTATTCTTAAACCAAAATTCAATTATATATATAATAGAGTTGCAAATTTTCCAATTACTAAAAAGATACAACCTAATAAAAAATTGCAAACTTCATTTTCTCTTCAATTCTTTTTATTTTTTAAAAAATTTCTTTATAATTTTTATCTTAACAAAGAAATTAAGTCAGCTACTGCTACTCAACTCACACTCAAAGCTTCATTCTACTATATTATTTATATTATAGCTAGGCAATAGCCTGAATTTTTAACTGATCTTATCTACAACAGCAATTCTAATATTAACAAAGGTGCAACTATTTTTTTTGATCTTTTTGAATCTACTCTCAAAAACCTTATTCTTAAATTTACAACTATTCTATTTACCAAACTTAATTATCTTGAAATCTTTGTCTTACTAGTTACTATTCTTCTATATAAAGCTTACAATTACTTTTAACTCTGCCTTAATCTTATATGTCTTTACCTTTTTCTATCCAATAACTACCAATCTATTAATTATCAAAAATTTGCTGAAGACCTTTAGCTTAAACCCAAAAGATTCAAATTTGAATTTTTTATACAAACCACTAACCTTAAACAAAAATATCTTAATATTTAGTCAGATGCTAAATTTAATATTAAACTTTTCTTTAATATTTTCAAAACTCTCTTTCTTGAAAGATTTTGTATTTCTTTACTAAAAAATTCTCTTGATCACTTTAATTTCTGGTTTGATAACTACTACCTTCTCTACAGTAAACAATTTCTTCTAATATTGATAAAGAAAAAGTTTATATCTCTTTTAGAATTTAATTCTACTAATATTTTATTCTTCAACTTTCTAAACACCTTCCTGAAACTTATATATTTAAAAAACCTAACTTATTTCAGGAGTAATGTGAAGAAATATCTTATGTTGCAAACTTTTATTGTCTTACTTATAACAACAAAGAATGTCAATATTTTGACAATAAAAAATTTCATGATAGTACCAAGCTATTTAATAATATTTTAACTAAATTCTGTCAATCATTTTCTCTTCAAAATAATAAAACTTGGATTTATCCAATTCTCAACTCTACATTATTTTACAAAAATAAAAAACATACTGCTTTACTTGACCAACATATTCCTACTAAAGCTTTAGACAAACTAGTTGATCAAGCTAAAAAATTTGTTTGTGAAACATGATGTTATGTAACAGCATCAGAAATCATATAAATATCATAAAATTTTATTGGCTAACATTTATTACTTATACTATCTAAAAAAAATATTGAAATAACAAATAGTTCATAATAATCTTAACTTTTAGAATCAAAAAGCAACTGATAAGCATGTACTATATTTTTACAGAATAATACACAGGCATTATTTCAAACTTTGACCTAAATTAAGCATAATTCGAACCAAAATTCAAAACTACACTCTGCATGTTATTTTATAAAACTATGATAATATTGTAATATGTATTTTAAACCTTATAATAAAAGTTTAACAATCAAGCCATTACAACATATTGATAAACTACTCCAAACTATGAAAAATTTAACTACTAATATATAAATATTGATTTTGACTAAGATAATCAAAATTCTTCAAGTTATAATATATTATTTAATAAATTTCTATGTTCAATAAGATGTGTTAGGAGTGAGATAATAGGTTAGAATATGAGTAAGATAGATTATACTTATTATTAGTACAGATTAGAGATCTGAAAAATTATTTTGGGATTTAATAATAATTATTTAATATATGACTAATTGTTTGCTTAATTTCACTAACATGACATAATGCTTAAAATCTACAAGTTAGTAATGCTAAAACACTAATATAATACAAAAAAAATGTTAATCAGTAATGTGCAAAGCAGTTTCAAATGCAAATTTAATATACAAATGATCTTTAGATTTTCATATATCTAATTTGAGTATAACATAATGCAAACTTTTAATTTATCCAATTAAGTAATTCATTGTACTGTTATTTTAATCATATATTAATATTATTTAAAGTTCTATATTTTATTTTGATCTTAGTATAAATATAATGTAAATATAATGTAATATAATGCATGAATAAATCATCGTAATCCAAAAAAAATAACAATTTTTATCTGAATTTATTTCTTGCTAAGTATTTTATGCAAATTAGAATAAAGATAATATGAAAAAATAGCAAAGTTTATTATTAGACATATATTTGACCTAAGTTTGATAATTTTATAATATGTTATTATATAAATAAATATAAAACTTCAAGGTATATAAAAGAAAAAAAATAAGCATTAAATTATTTTTTCTAATATTATCAAAATAAAAGACTCTTTATCAATCAAAAATACTTACTAGACAAAGCATAATGAAAGTTCAAAAAATTGATAACAATAATGATGAATTGGTTTAAAAAATAACAAGCAATTTTAAAACTAACCAAAAAGAATCTGAATATAGTAACCATATATATTAAGAATTTGAAAATTAATGTAAGTTTGTGATTCTAAAATTTCAAGTATGTTAGACTTCTTATAGGAAGAGTAATCATTTTTATTTAAATACAGACATATATAATAAAGTTATAAATCTTTGTATCAGATATACTTTTACATTCTAGGAAAATACAGATACTATTATAGAGATCTATAGAAAGCAGCAAGAGTTTGAAATTATTAAAAAAAAGTTAGAGTGGCATTAGGATGGTAGCATTAAGTTTCACACATAGGGTTGTGAATTTGGTGGCTGCTATCAACCAAAAAAACAAGTAGATGTTAACAAACATAAAGATCATAAGTCGAAATGTGAAGAATGTGAATGATGTATTAATTTTAATTATCCTAAAAATAGTTCATGCATAACAATTACAACTATCATTACATACACAATCATAAATTAAGTTTTAATACTTTAACTTATATTTTAGCATATCAAAAAATCTCTAAAAGAACTCTTAATGAAATTTGATTTTTTACTAAATATGAAAACCTATTTGTTGGTACTCAAAAAAAACTATTGAAGGCCAAGTTCCCAAATAAACCTATTTTTGAGCATGATATTGCAAATGCTATACAAAAATTCAAGGTCAGAACTGAAAAAAAGACAAATGCATTCTGCCTAATTGCAACATTAATTTAAAAAAAAACAAATAACTTTAAATAGGTAGTTGAATTTGATCTTGATATTAAAAATAGGCTTGCTCTTTGGGTACAATATTATAATATAGTTCTAAATAATAATACTGCCAAAACTAACTGCTATCAAATGTCATTTTTACTTTTTCTTATGATAGATAACAATACTAGGTCACATCTTGTTGCACAAGCTCTAATTTTAGATAAAACAATAGAATTCTACAAATAGATTTTTAACTGTATAAAAAGTGTAACTTTAGCTGAATTATTAGTATTGGTCATAGATGCAAATCCTGCTGCAGATGCAGCAGTTGAACAAATATATAAGGCAATACATCAAATTCACTGTATCTTTCACATAAGCAAAAACCTACCAAAAAATCTTAAATTTAAACTTTGGGATCAGTATGATGATTTTGTCAGTGACTTTTTCTAGTATCACAAAAGCTTATGTAAAATCTGTTCTATGAAAAATGAATACAATTAATTGAAAAATATGCAAATGCTAAAAGCTATTTAGAAAGAGCTTTTTACTCTAGTAGATAAGCATAGGCTTATGCATTTATTTTAAAAATATTTACAGCAGAAATTTAAACTACTTCTCATATTGAAAGTATGAATAATATAATCAAGCACATGCTATCATCAAATAGTACCTTATGTAATTTTGCTAATGCATTAGAAGTAAGACTTAAAAATAAGACATAGTGAAATCACTTATTTGAATATTGTACTATGTCATTCTACATGAAAATAATATCAATAAGACATAATATCTTTTCAAAAATTGATAAGATAATGTCCAAATGCCTTACTTCTCATATCTTGTCTATGAAATGTTTAAAAACAGCACAATGCCTTTATTTTATTGCAAATTAAATACAATTAGATATTATTAAAACATCCAATAAGGCAAATAAGTATATGCACAGAGTAGTATTACAGATTCTAAACAAATTATTCTGTAACTATGATATCATTCTGTATATGAATATTGATATTAAAAGCATAGTTAATAATATCTATTTTTATTACATTTAGGATCTTAACTTAAATTTAATAAATAGATTTGTTGAAGACCTTTATAATATCAAGAAAGTTTTACTAAAATCAATGATTAGTGAAGTGGATAAAAGCAACATTCAAAAAATATAGAAAATTACAGACTTATAGCCTAAAAATAGCAAATATATATATTTTATAGTGATAGTTAATTCTACTTCTTAATTTTGTTTATATATGTCTAATATATCTTAAGCATTATTTGCTATTACTATTTTCGAGTAATAATGTATTCTAGAGTTGCAGAATTTTATATTCATATGATACCATCACAATGGTTTAACAATGAACAAAAAGAAAATAATTACATTATAGAATCCTTATACTTTACAAACTATGATTCTATTAGGAATCATTCTAGAGAATTGGCATTAGTATTAAATACCTCAACTATGCCTAAAACAGTTAGTTCAATTCTATGCCATGCAGCATACAAAAAACATAAATATGGAGAAATCTGTGAACTTGCATGGCAGGCAACCTATCCTGCTATTGAAAATAACAATTATAATAAAATAGTAGTATGGTTAAAACAATTCATTAATCAGCAAAAAAAAGTAATATCTATAGTTACTAGAAAATAAGATTGAAAATCTTTTAATAATAAAATTCATAATGATAATAATATTCATGAAGTTGATGATATTTATAAAGTTGACAATAAAAATAAAGAAAATAAATTTGACTAAGTTGAAAATCCACTAGTATTAAAACACAAAAGATGTCTAGCAACAAAATATTATAAATCAGCACCCTGTGACAAAAAAAAGCTCTGCAAAACATACATGTAGAACTTGTATTTAAACAGAATATAATACTGCAAGATGTTAAAACCATTAAGCATTTACTTATTTTTCTCTGATTTTTTATTTGCAGCTCTTGCTAATAAAAATTTTTTTAATTTTTGTTTGAGAATATACCAAGATTTTTTTTGCTTAATAAACTGCCAATCAATGTTTTAAAGTAAATTTCAGAATTGTAATACTGAACAGCTATATTTTGTTAAAATAAAGTTCTAATATGCTACATTTTTTTATATATATATGTGATCAAAATTCTTTTTACAGTTAGATATGCTTATTATTATATTTGTTTAATGTTAACATAAAAGCATATCAACTTTATATTGAGTATTGGTATTACAAAGCATTAAATATTTATATTAGTAATTGTATAGCCAAATTGGGTATATTATCATAATTTATAAAAGTGTATTTATATATATATGCATATATATGCATTATAAATTTTTATTTATTTGATTTATAAAAGTATATTTGTATGTATAACATATATATGTATTATACAATTTAATTTTGAAAATCATTTTTAGTTAAAGTTGATACAAAATTTTATAAAATTTTTTTTAATAAAATTAATTTTATAAATATAGTTTTTACCAAAGCTATTTTTTGACATTATTGTTCTGAGACTATTTTTTTAAAGCTGTTATATAATATGCTATTACAAATAGATTTGTCCTAAAATAAAAACTAATTCTAAATGCTGTAATTATTAATTCTACTGCTATCTCTCTATTACCAAACTGCTGCTAAAAATTATAATATACAGTCTTTGTCCAAGAAGAAGACTATTAACTTATAAAAAACATTATTGATACTAAATTTCTTGCTCAAATTATTACATAATTTGATATTATCAAAAACCAAAAGCCAATCTACTAGGAGTGTAGTAACCTAGTGAAGTGGTCAGGTTGTCAACCTTTTAAGTAGTAGGTTGGGTATTCAAATCCCATTGACAGCAAAAATTTGGATAATTACCTATATAATATTCATATTATAGCAACTGTTACTAATGATTGAGTTAGAATATCTGTAATAGCAGTTGCACCAGCATGACTGGCAGATCATAGGCCATCTGTGAAATATAGCATTACACAGAGGAATGCAAACCAACAAATAGAATAGTGCAAACACTAGATAAGTCCTTGTAGTTGTGTAAATAAATTGAAATTGAGTAACAAGAAGTTTATTTGAGAATATCTGAATAAAGAGGTAGCTGGATCTTTGATGGCCCTACTGTAAAGGCTAGCTCAAAAAAACAGATATCAAGGTCATAGTACCCAGTCATAGTAGCTGGACAGGCAAGAACCTCTGGGTTGAGAGTCTTAGAAGTACTACTAACTAGGCCATCAGAATGAACTAAAAAAATAAATATTAGGCCAACCTGATATATCAATAGACTGGTTATAGTTCTACATGGGCTATCTAAATTAGGAGTTTGGTAAAAAGGCAGATGAAAAGGAAGAGGTATACTAAAATACTGGGGTTATGCAGTAAAGTAGATGCTGAAGTCTAAGTAAACTCTACAAAAGAATAGCAGTTTAATGGTTAGTCCTGACTGCAAGTATTGGTTTTGCCATAGCAATACCTAGATTAGCTATAAAAATAAGTACAAAAGGCTTTAAAAGGTTTACTTCGAAGATAAATTAGTCCTAAGGTTGAGATAATAATTTGGGCATCTGGGTATGACCTAGTGAATTAACATAGGTTACAGGTTCAGAAGATTTAAAGTAGAACATCTAAGCAGGAGTGTTAGATACAGCAATTGGTAAGGAACCTTCAGGCAGACTCCTTAAATAGGTAATATAAAAAAGTTACATGTGTAGCCAATTGTATGCTCTTCTGTAGTAGTTTATTAAACTATAATACCAATAAGTAATTAATAAAAGTCAAAAGACCAAAGAGGTTATCTTAAAAAAAAAAAAGCCAATCTAACTACAAATTATAATATATTTTAATGATACTGCCTACCTAACAGCTGAAAAATTTTTATTAAAGAAATTCAATCTTAATTTTCAACCTCCTTTTTAAGTTCTTTGTTTTCTACAATCAATATTAAAGCAGCCAACATCTTACTAAAGGACATACTCATTGTAGTTAGTAAAGAAAATAAGATAAGTAGGCAGATAGACAAACCTATTTATTTAAAAAGCCAGAATAATAACAGTTAAACCCAATATACAGGGCAGACTATAGTATCTTATACAATTGTAAGAGCTAAACATACAGTAATCAACTCTGTAGAAGCCAATTTTGAAAGATTATTTATAACATCTTTAATCTTCTATGATCTTTATATATACTTTAACAAATTTCTTCTTCATTACAATTTACTACTCCTCTCCTATAGTCAAACTATTCAAACTTTAATTCAATATATTGACAAATATAATAACAAAACAGTATCTAGTATTACATTTTTTGTTAACTTATCTTATAATAAAACTCATATATATCTTTCTAATAATACTTTTTTATTAGATTATATTGTTATTACTTTATACTTCATTCTATATTTTATAATCTTTCTCTTAGATCAAACTTCTTTAATCCTATTTCTATCTATCTAATTTATTTTTTGACAACTATTCTTTAACCTCTAATTGTAATACTTCCTCACTTTCATTAAATTTAACTCTATATTATCTCAACCTAACTATTACTATATACAATATTAGAGACTTTAATAAACCTACTAAGAGAAAAGCATAACAGGATTATTGCCTCAATTATAATATATCTATTACAAGCATCACAAAAACAAAAATCTCTAACAAATTTAATCTCTTTTTCTGCAATAATAACTTCTTTACTTATTACTAGTCTAACTCTCCTAACTCTATAAAAAGTACTGCTATTATGATTTGCAAGTATCTTAAACCTCATGTTCACAGTATTCATACTTATTTTGGAGATGCTATAGCATTTGATATTTTCTTTTGAAGTAATATTAAGCTTTGCATCATTTCAGTATATCTGTCATCAACTAATCCTTCTATTTACAACCAAACCCAAAATAAAGTAATTAACTAGATTCAGCAAGCCTCTTAACTTCATATTTATTCTATTATTCTTGGTGACTTCAATACACAGAACAACACTCATAGCTCTTTTTCTAAATATAAACTTATTAACTTTCATAATAATTTAATTTTATTTTATATGATATTAAAGCTCACTTTAACAACAAACATTTTACCTGGTCTAACAATACTAGCAGTAGTTGCATTGAATACATTTGAACTGACCAATTTAATATACAATTCTTTCTTTCTTATAGTCTTAATAATAGTCAAACTTTTACCTCTAGTGATCATCTAATTCTCTTTTTTATTTGGATATTTTTACATGTTTATAGCAAACCTTTATATAAACATACTAGCATTAACTGCTGTATTTTTAACTACAAAGCCATGTCTATAGAGAACTGAGAATCCTTTACAGATACCTTATCTCAACAACTTCTATTACACAAAACTCCTACTAATAATAAAAGTTATAAAAGTATTAAAACTACTTGGCATAAATTCAATGCTTTATTATTTATATTGCTACTTATACTATTTCTAACAAAGTCTCTTAAAAATATAGCTACAATCATTAATACTCACTTTACAGTATGCTACTACACCTATTTCTTAAAAAACTTAGTCACATTATTAAACTTGTTAAAAAATTTATTCAACATTTTAATATTTTTTACATTAATTCAAACATCTTTTAAATTAACAAATAGTCACAATATGATCTTCAATTACTTACTTCTACTAATTCAACTTTTATTTAAACTTGGCTTCAACATGCTTACTCAATCTGGAATCAACTCTTTCATGTCTGCTATCTTGAAAACTCATATTCTATTTAGGCTATTAATAGCATTCTCAATCATTACTACCAACCTGTCTACTTCACTAATCTAAAATTTTCTCAAGAGCTTATTAGTAATTTACTAATCATTAAACAACATGTTTAATCTCATTTTCAAGACTGGACTGCACATAGACCTATTAATCAAACTCTATTTAATAATTTTTAGAAACAACACTACCTTCTACTTCTTTATATTAACTCAACCTAGTATCATTTTCTCAATTTACCTATTACTAATAATGAACTTCTTAAAATGCTTTCTCAACTATCTAATAACAAAGCCTATAGTTCTATAGACATTAGTTATAAAATGCTTAAACATATTAGCTATTAATTCACTTCTGCTATTACTGCTCTCTTTAACTGTTGTCTTTTTAAAAACAGAATTTCTAAGCAATAAAAACATAGTCATATTTATTCTATCTCTAAATGAATTACCTTTGATGATGACCTCAACCTTACTCAATCTATTAGTCTTGTTAAACATATCTGCAAGCTTTATATTAAAGTTCTTACCAATTGACTTAGCTTTGTATTTTCAACCTATTCTATCTTTTTATCTTTTAATTATGTTGTCCTTCTCAACAACAGTACCTTAATTCCTATCTAAATTCTTAACAACCTTATTGATAATGTCTCTTGCAATTATAAAAGTATTTGGTTACTTTTGCAAGATATGAGTAAAGACTATAACTTTATTAACTTTACTCTTTTTAAACATACACTCTCTCATCTATTACTTTCTTCATCTATTATTAATATTCTCTTTGACCTTCTTACTGATTATCATAATCAAGTTATAACTAATCTTAGTTTAACTTTATTTTACTTAGTTTACAATAGTATTGACCAAGGTGAAACTATTACTTCTTTGTTATGATGTA